AGAGCCACCACCCCCACACAAAAATGCTTGTGTGAACCCACAAATACAATTTAGCAAGTTTCTCTCCTAAGGCTGAGGAGACTCTGGTAAGCCTGGTGAATACATGGACCCGAGGTTATAAGCTTTCTCTACCAGATTCCTTGCCTCGTGGACCCAATTCTACCTCGCAGGGCTGTGGTAAGGCAGACAGAGCTTCAGCAGCTCAAGTGGGTCAGGAGGTCCATGTACCCCAGGCCTGTGTTGCCCCAGAGGACAGACTCTGCCTTGTCCTTCAGTCCTACTCTTGACCCTAAGTCATGCCCTTAGGCCCAACTGACCCACCTGAGATACGGACCCAGGAGGCGAGCCAGTCAGAAGAGAAGGATGATGGCCCTAAGGAGGTATGTGTAGACTTAAGCAAATGTGGTGACGGCTCCTCAGTGCCGCGCATAGAGGCTGGTCTTGGCCTTCTCATCTGCTCACATATGGCATGACTGCTAGGTCACCCTGACCAGCTCTGACACTCCTTCTTGGCCAAGCCTCCTGGCAAAATAATACACCTCCTTTTGGCTCCAGCACCTCTTTTTGGACATCTGTCAACTTATGCGAGGACTGGGCTGATGGCCAAGCTTGACTCTTGCCCTGTTCTCTTTTCCTCTTCTCCATCTTTTGGGGATAGACTTTTCCTACTCTAGCAACCACAATCCTTATTATGCCTGGTCCACTTTCTTAGGTACCCTTTGAAGGAGTTAGGGACAGAATGAGCAGCAAAAAGGGCCAAGGAGACTTTAGGCTCCACTGGGCTGAGTCCCCGCTCCACTAGGCTTTAATCTGAGTTTACAAACTCAGAGAGAGCAGCTTGGTGTTCCCCACTGCCAGTCCCCAATGTCCCCTGGGTCAAGCCCCATCATCCCTCACCTAATCTGTTGCAGGGACTGGCTCCCTCTCACTGATTTCTGGCCTCTTCATTTATCTTCCCTAAAATTCAGGCTTGGTCAAGTCAATCATCTTCTACGAAATCTTTGCTAGCTGACCTATGCCTCTGGAATAGAGTGCAGATTCCTCAGCTGCCATTCCAGGGACACCTCTGTAATTTGATCTGAACCTCCCTGCCCATGCTCACCCTTCCTCAGTCCAGGTGTGCACCCAATGATCCTATACGTTCCCCTGCCCTTGATCCCTTGACAAATTCTCCAGTTCAGCGCTTGATCGTGCTAAAGCTAGGTCTCGGCTATTTTATCTGGTATTCCTAATTGAAAAATTGCCCCATCCTTCAAGGTCCAATTCAAAAGCTACCTCCCTAAAGCCTTCCCCAGCCTTAGCATTCTGAATTTTTCTGCATTCCCAGCAGTCATTATCCCTGGCATTACCACATTTCTTGTTGCTTTCCATTATCTTCTGGTAAGCTCCCTGAGGGCAGGCAAACAGGTTTTTGGTATCTAACCCATTACCTCGAACAATGCGGGTGTTTAAGAGATGTTTGTCAACTAGCCCATAGACTCCCCAGCCAATAGTAGGTGGTCTGCAGGACACGTTGCTTTCCTTGCAGCCCTAGCACCATCTCTCAGTGCTGCCATAAGCAGGATGTGTGTGTCAACTGCCCGAGAAGCCCCTGCATTCCTGATCTCTCCTCTCCTCAGCCAGATGCTAATTTTGTTTGATTGTCCGTTCCCAGTCAAGAAGAGAGCCTGTGGGTCCCTTTGGATATGTCTGATCTGAATGTCACTCGAGATAACAGTGTCAGCCACACATGTTTTCAAGTTTCCTACAGCTTTGGGGGCTGGAGTTTGCTTCTGACCTGCCCAGCAGCCGGGAAGATGCTTTGCCACCAGGTGGCCGGGATCCACCGGCACCCGTATCTTTGGCCCTCTGGATACTGCCAGCCTCATCATCTAAAATCTCCCCGCTTCCTTCTCTTCCTCTTCCTTTCTGGAGGCGCCGAAATTATTCAGACCGTACCCATGAAAAGAGAAGACAAAAATCACTTTGGCGCCCCCTATCTCCTTCTTAATAGGGAGGACTAAAAGGCTCTCGAGTGCTTCCAAAGTCCGTGTTAGGAACCGAATCTGCGTGGGCGACGGCGCTCCAATTGCGTTTCTGGCGGAGGTCGGAATTTGGCTCGGTCCCTTGCAAAGTTTCCAAGGGAAGGTTCGTACAATCGTAACAGTCCCTGGCAGCCGCTCAGCCCGGGACTTCGGGCTCCACTCTCCATTGGCCAGCCATCCGTGTGACGGTCCGGAGGCGGGGCCTCATCAGCTGTTTGCGGGATGCCCCGAGCGGGCGTATTTTGGAAACAATACCGCGCGGTGCAGAGTGGCCTCCACCCGAGCCTGCCCGCCTCCTGCCGCCGCCGCCCCTGTCTGCGCCTCCCGCCGCCCGCTGCTGCCCGGTGAGCGCCTGGGCGGCCAAGGGCCGGGCGGAGTTGGATCTCACCTCCTTGGGGAAGTGGGGAGAGGATCGCCCTGAGCGTGGGGGCCCGGGAAGGGTTGGGCAGCGGGCGTCTGGAGTGACCATGGACTGGGGCACTGTGGTGTGGGAACGGGGTACAGAACCCACATGTAGGTGCGCTGCTCCACGAAGGAATGTGGGGCTAGTAGCATTTGAGTCTCTAATGGCTTGGGTCCAGGTAGGCAGGGGAACCTGCGCTTCCCCGCTGAGCAGATCTGGGCGCCCGAGAATGGCCCGGTCTCTGGATCTGACATTGGGGTAGGGCAGGGAGTTGTGGGACGTCCTACATCCCTGCGGAGTCTGAAGGCTCCTCTCCTTAACAGCTGGGCTTTCCCCCGCTCCTTCCCAATTGAGTTTGGGCGCCAAGCCCCCGAGTGCTCGTCACGCTGGACCCTGGCACGGAACCCTGGCATCACGACTCGGAGGCCGAGATTCTCCCCTGGAGTCACCCAGGTCTGCTGTGTGTTGTGTGAGTGCGTGAGTTTGTGTGTGTGTGCGTTCCCAGATTTTAGCTCTCGAAGAGGTTCAGAATGTCTGGCTACTGCCTTCTCCTAGGAGGAGGAGGAGTCCGAGTTCAGCATCCCTGTTAGCGTCCTTAAGGGCTGGGATGGCTGCAGCAGGTTTTAGGTCTCCTTGCTAGGACTACTTCTCTGGTAGTGCACTTAGGAAATGCACCCCTGCTGCCTGTTTGGACACCACCTCTTCAGCTCCGGGGAAGGGCAGAAGTCTCTTTACTGTATCCCAGTTTGCACTTGATCTTGCCCAGCACCCCTCTGAAGGCTCCCACCTGCAGAAGAGCCATCTGTAGTTCCTGTGGAGAGTGGGAAGGGTCCCCCTAGGCTGGCAGACCCACACCCTCTGGCTGCACCTCCCCCACTGTCCAGTGCAGGCAAGGGCTGAACTTTGGGGCTTTGCTGGGAGGGGGTGGGAGAGGTGATAAGCTTCAAAGGAAAAGCCAAGACAATGACTGCTGCTTGCTATTGGCTTTGGAGGGCCCCATCTTAGGTTGGGATTGCCAGCTTGCATAGAGGAGGTGGAAGGGCAGGAGGGGAGCCCCTGCCAGGTGACTGAAAGGACAGCGCTTGGTCCTTTCTGCAGGATGCCTTGTTTCCTGGCACTGATAAACTAGTTCTCTCACACCTTTTAGGAAAACACTGTCCCAAGAACACCATGTGCCTTTTTTTGCCATCCAAATGGGCAGCAAAGAGGGCAGGATAGGGACCATAGATAGCTCAAGGACAGGATGGGACGGAGGGAGAGTTGAAGCAGGTGCCTTAAAGAAAGCTTGCATTTGAGAAAGCCATGATTCTTGAATTAACTGAGCTTCCTCTAAGTATTTTACCAACCCAAAGACCATTTGGCTTGTTCTTCAAGGGCAAGAGACTGGAAGACAGAATTCCCAGGGGACCTCTAATTGACTCTGGCAGTGACAAACACCATCTCTCCGTATCCTTAGCCATTCAGGTGCTTGCTTTTCTGACTGCCCCAGGGACCCTGAGGGGTTCCTGGTGTGTGTATAGGGGACTGACTTTGAGCGCAAGAAGCTGGGTGACTGCAAGCTCATACTTCCAAGAGCCATCAAGTGGCGCAAGTGGAACTTCTTTATCACCAAGAACTCATATCAACAACCTGAGTTCAGGCCACAAGTGAGGTCACAGAGAGAGGGCTGAATTTCACTTCCTTCTATGAGGCAGGTTGTATGCATCTCAGGTTCGGCACTGGCAGGAATGGTAGGCTGTGGGGAAGGATTTGAAGTTGTGGAGATCAGTGACTCCACACTGAGCTGGGGAATTCTGGGCACTTTGCTGGATGCCGGACCTCTCCTCTCAGCTAAGCTGTGGTAGGCAGATAGCTCTACTCTGCTGAGAGGGCAGCTGCAATGACTAACTTGGGTTTTTCTCCCCCTCTCTCTCCCAGGACACACTCTTACCACATCGTTGAGCCTGTTTGTTGTGTTGAGCAAGCAGCGGGTGGAGACTAGAGTCTTGGGCGGGGCTTAGCAGGTTTGGAGGGAACCTGGCCGGGCTAGGATTGCTGGCTTTTGTTTTTGCTGCCCAGCCTGGAGCTCTGCTCAGAGTGAGATGAGAACTTGATGGTTACTCCTCAGGCCAGCAAGGGTGTGTGTGTGTGGTGAGCACTGTGGGTACAGCCAGTCACAGCGCCCTCTGCCCTCCCACAGCCACGCACAGAGGCTAGTCTTGTTGACATTTCTCCAGGTACCCTCAGTGCTTATAGCAGCTGACCATACCCCTGCTATGACTGAGAGTCAGTAGCAGTCCAACTGTGTGACTGTGACCAGCCTGGGTCAGAAGGAGGCTAAGGGGAAGGTGGCTCCAAGTGGGTGCAGGGAAGAAACATGGAGAATCTTGGAACTGCGAGGCAGCCCACATTTGGGGGTGGGTTGTCACCCTTGGCAATGCTTTATCTGTAGGGTTGACTGTCATCAGTGCCTGAGCCCACTTCTCCACATAAGAAGGGGGAGCAGGAAAGAAGGAAAGGGAGGGAAGTCCTTCCAGGTAGAGCCTGGGCGGGGGCAGCCTCCCGGATGCCTGCATTGCACCCTCACAGGGGAGATGGAGCCACCCCAGTGTGTGGAGGAGCTGGAGGATGACGTATTCCAGCCAGAGGATGGGGAGCCGGGGACCCAGCCCAGGAGCTTGCTCTCTGCTGACCTGTTTGCCCAGAGCCAGCTGGACTGCCCCCTCAGCCGTCTGCAGCTCTTCCCTCTCACGCACTGCTGTGGCCCTGGGCTTCGACCCACCAGCCAGGAAGACAAGGCCACCCAGACTCTCAGCCCAGCTTCCCCGAGCCAGGGTGTCATGCTGCCTTGTGGGGTGACTGAGGAGCCCCAGCGACTCTTTTATGGTGAGTGCTCTTAGCCTCAGGACTCCTCCCTTAGAGACTGGGGGAAAAGAGGGGACTTTCCCTCCCCAAACCTGCTCTTTGCTATTTCCTTCCCCAAATTGAGCAGCAGGGGCTATTGATCCCTCAATTCTTCACCTGCTGTCTCTCTGCTCATATACTGCTTCTTGCCTGTGCTCCTCAGGCCACAAGCAGGACAGATTGCCTTGCCATTCTTTTCTGCTCATTTGTCCCTTCCGGGAGGGATCCTTGGATCCCTGGTGTCTCCTTGGGTTGGAAGAAGGGCACCTGGGTCTTGGCTTTTACATATTGTGGCCTGTTGAGTGGCCCAGCCATTTGTGTCGTAATAGTGATGTACCTTCCGTGAAGTGGCTAGTGTTGCCCTGGAGAAGGCTGGGAGATCTGTGACTCGCTGTTGACACTGAAGGGGAAAACCCAGCTTGTTCTGGGAGAGAAGTTTCCTGGAGGCAGAAGGTCCCCCGCCCCGGTTGTCACTTGGGACTTTCTGTGTTTGGAAGGGGAACTGGAGAAAGAGGTTGGGCCTGCCTAGGCTCACTGCCAGCAAAGGGGCTGTTTCCAAGGCTCAGTCAGATAAGACCCCTTCATTTGTGGGCTTCAATGGTTGGTTTCATTAGCAATTTGCCCTCCTCTGGCAAAAGGGCAGAGTTAGATAGCCAGTGTTCTTCATTTAGCACAAAGCTTATGGAGCCAAGGGTGGTTCAGAGGCTATCTTGCTGGGTCTGATGGAGCGGATTGAGGAGACGCTGCAATTATTCCCAGAAGGAGCTGCCCTGTAGGACAATTCAGGCAAAGTAGTTCTGGCAGGAGTCTGAGATGGATAAGGCAGGCGGGCTGGGAGGAGGGAAAGACGGGAGCAGGCGGGCGCCCCTAGCGGCAGCTCGGTGACCAGCACTTGATCAGTGGGGAGAGCAGGTCTAGATGTCTGGCCTGGGGCTGGCTCCAGAGAGCAACTTGGCTAATCTGTGGCTCAGAGGAGTCTTCTCTCCTATGTTTTTGTGCCACTGCCCAGAGCTTCAGGACCTGAAACCAGCCTTTCTCTGCTACACTAAAAAGTGAGGTTACTTTCTGATTTTCTTTCTCTGTCCCTTGCTCTACTCAACTCAGGATCTCTGGAGAGCTGCCTCTGATGTTTTCCTAGAGAAGAGCTTCAGCCTGCTACTACCATATGAATAATGAATAATAAATTGTGGTCAAGCGTAGCTGGGTAAATAAGGACAGAAGGTTGGCAAGTTCAGCCACACTTATTACCTTTGCCATGGCACTGCCAGTGAAGGGAGGGCTGAAGGGAAGCCTGGCATCAGCTTTCATACTCTTGGGCAGCAGGCAAGTCAGGCTGTCCACATTTGGCAGAGTGCCCTGAGAAAGGCAAGCTCAGTTCCTCTCCCTTCCCACACTAGAGTCTACCCTTGACCCCGGGTCTTGACCAGGGGTGGCAGGCATGGGGAAGATGGGGCAGTGGTGGAGCTTGCTGAGATGTGGGCCCTCTGTCTTTGCAGGCAATGCTGGCTACCGGCTCCCCCTTCCTGCCAGCTTCCCTGCAGGCTTGCCCCTTGGTGAGCAGCCCCCTGAAGGGCAGTGGCAACATCGAGCAGAGATACAGATTGCCCGAAAACTCCAGTGCATTGCAGACCAGTTCCATCGGCTTCATATGCAGCAAGTAGGCACTGGGTCTTGGTTGGGGGAGGTGGTGTGCATTTGCTGGGGCTTTGGGGCTGGGGCCTGCCTCAGCAACTCTGTCTCTGCCAGGCCCCACGTTTAAAGCCCCATGTTACCGTGATTCTCGTGGACTGGAAATCAAGAATGGGCCCGGCTGGATGAGTGCTCTTGCTCTCACCTCTGAGATCCAAGTTGTTTATCTGCCCACTTTCAGCTCAGGTCCCTGGGAAATGCTCCGATCTCTTCTGGAGAATGGCGTAGCTTCTTGCAGCCTTGACTGACACCCTATCTCTTATTGAGTTCATCAGTGGGAGATGGCCCCTTGCAGACCTAAGGGGAAGATTTTCATGGTGCTGAGGAAAACTGGACAGTCGGAGGTACCTGGCTGCCGTGCAGTGGGAAATGGGTAACCAAGGCGTGGACGGGTCTGAGCTGGGGAAAGTGGTGGAACCGGTTGTAACCCGACACTTTCCAGCTGGGGCTGCCACTCCTCATTGTCTCTGTCTGGAAACCAGGGCCGGGACTCTGGAGAGTGTGTACCTCAGAGTCTCTCCAGACCAGCGACCGGGTGCTCGGCGGGCAGCCTGGCACCAGCCCACCAGGGCGGAGCATCGCGTGTCAGTGGAGCTTGTGGCAGAGCCCATCAACAAAGGCGGCGGCTGGCGGGCTCGTGTGGAGGAGCCCTCCGTGCCTCCGGGCTGGAGGCTGCCTGGCTCTGCAGCGGCAGTCTGGCCCGGCCCCTGGGCACTTAACCCTTCCTCCCTGGGCTGACTTTCTGGATGGCTGCCAAGGTGGGGAGAGGAGCCTGAAGCTGGATCCCTGCTAGTACAACCACCACTGAAGCAAAGTCATGCCACCTGGAAATGAACACATTCCCTGCCTCTGGAATAGTGTCCTTGCCTAGTCGGCTGTGTGTGTGTGTGTGTGTGTCTATATCTGACTGTATATCAGGAAATCAAGAGAATAATTAATCCACCATGATTGGACAGACCCTGAGGTTAGACGGGGAAATTCAGGTGACCAGAGGAGAGCTATTGATAATAGGTTTGACTTGAGGACCAAAGCATGGCCAGCACCTGGCAGGAGGTGGTGTGGGGAGACAGAAATTGAATTTAGGTTTCCTGAGATCCAGCCATAAGGGGTTAGTCTCTGCCAAGGTGAGAGTCTCTGCCAGGGGGTTCTGAGGGATACGTGGGGCTAGACCTGGTCCTGGTGGGTCCCCCAGTCCCTCAGGAAGGGAGGGTGGCCCTATGCTTAGGTAATAAGGCAGCCTGGCTGCCTCCTCTGGCTCCAAGCTCCAGCCCCTATTCCCTCCTTTGATTGTTCTGTGGAAACTTGGCTTAGGGTTTTCCCTTCAGTCCACTCTTAATTCTTGATTTCTGCCTCTTGGCCTTCTTCCTGCCCATTCACTTTACTCTGGTTGTGTAGGCCTGTGGTTGGCCTGAGCTCGCAGCTCCTAGCCCCAGTGCTGTAACTGAGAGGACACAGTGGCTCTGGGTTTCCTGGACTCACCCGGGGGACCACCTGGAAGTCAGTTTTCTGTATTCCCATTAGACCTGATCTCTCTCAACAGTTGTTTCCCAGAATATTCCGCCATCCACTGGTGAGCCCTTATAGGCTTGGGAGCAGGCTGGGAGGCCTCCTTTGCCCAGTTGAGCCCTGGCACAGGACTAGAACTCAGCCCAGGGCCATTTCTTCCCAACTCAGTCCCGCACAGGAGAAGCTGGCCCTGATCCCAAGGTCTGACCCTGCCCTTTGTTGTTTGGTGTCACTGACCCCAGTGCAGAGCTGTCTCTTTGAGGGCCTGGTTCAGCTTGGGAGGAGGAGGGGCAGAGCCACAGAGTGGGAGGAGAACAAGAGGAGAGTCTCCCCAGCTCTGCACCTCCTCCACTGCTGGCTCCTGACTTCCCAGTGCCCCTCACCATCCTGCCAGCTACCTTCTCCTACCGTGCAGTGGCGGGAGGCCGGCCAATGAGGCCTAGAGCTGGTTTTCCCAAATTTTCCATTGCAAAGAGCCAGGCTTTTTGTCCATGGGAGTCTTCTTACTTTTATCCCCCTCCTCCCCACTCACCCTGCTCACTTCCCTGGGAGCCCATCCTGTGGGAAGGACTGGGATCATGGCCATGGGCAGATGGAGTGCTGGCATGTGTAGGGCCTTTTAGCAGCTAGTTTTGAGAAGTGAATCATTTTCTGAACTTGATTACAGTATAAACTAATGTCTAGATATTTCGTATCCACACAAAACTGTTGTCACTCTTACATTCTTATCCTTCATCTTCTTTCCCTATTCCTTCCCCTCATCTTTGCAAGCAGGAAACTGAGGCATAGGGGTGGAAGTAATTTAGGGTTAAGTCTCGAGGCTTCAGATACAAAGTCTGAAGGCCCAGGTTTGAATGCCAGCTCTGCCAGCTACCAGCTACTGGGAAGACACTTGATCTGGCAGAGCCTATTTCCTCTTCTGTAAATTAAACCTAATGTCACAGAATTTGATCATGAAGATTCAGTGAGAAAATACCTATCTGAGTTCCAGGCACACAGTAGGTATTCTTTAATGCTTGTTTCCTTTGTCTGTATAATCCTGATCATCCCCCACATTTGTTCTTGTCAGTTCACAGTGCATCTTCCAGCCCACCTGTCCAGCTAGTCCCTAAGCAAAGTGCCTCCTGTGGGCTCCCTTCCACCTGACCTGTTCAGAGAAATTGGCTTCCAAGCTATTCACTTATGGGCCTTGTCCTTGTACATTTCTCCTGGGGGAATGATGATTGGTCTCCATCATTGTGGGTTGAGTTTTTAGATAACCAGGAAAGAGAACTCAAGACGCAATAAGAAGGTTGAAGGGGCCTGGCCATCTCCTCTCTTCTCAGGTCTGGGATGGTGTCCCAGGGCCAGACAGTGGCCATGGGTCCCCGAGTCCTGTAGGGAAGGTGAAGCTTCTGCCTTTTGGCCCTGGTTAGGGACCTCAGTTATTCTTTTTTTTTTGGCCACATCAGGCTTGTGGGATCTTAGTTCCCTAACCAGGGATTGAACCCATGCCCTCAGCAGTGAAAGCATGGAGTCTTAACCACTGGACTGCAAGTTATTTCCAGTTATTCTTTTTCTATATGAGGGGAGGCCCTAGGAGATGTGGAGCACAGGGAAGTGTGTGATGATGGTAGTGCATTATAGGATGGCATTATGGCAAAGTGAGTGTGTCAGCATGACCCTAAAGGCAACATGCTCCAAATTCCCCCTGGTGCTGGTTATTGCGGGCTGGAAACCGTCCCAGCATGTTTCTCGAGGAGCTTACTGGATGGAGGTCTAGCCTGGCTACCCACGTAATCTGTTCAGGATGGCTTCTCTGGACCAATGGGCAAGGATTCGAGACAGAAGCTGTGCTTGCTGTCAATGCTTTAGGTCTCCAAAGCAGCAAGAGAGTTGGTGGCAGGGTGAGTGGAGATAAAAAGCCTTTCCAAACCTGGTCACACACCTCTAACTTCCTCTGGCTGAGTCAGGAGTGAAAGATTCCCCTCTTTGCTCCTTTGTGAGCTTAGCTTAGCTGCAACACGTGATCTGTGGTGGTCTGGTGACCTTAGCGTACCTTGACCTTGGCTCTGTGATGGTGCCTTGGTGTTTCTTGTCTGTCCAGCTTCTTCAGGGAACGTGGCAGTACAGGTTTACTTCCTCCCTGTGCTTAGGGGCTGGTCTGGCCCAGAAGGTGAATCCCAGCTTCTTTCCATTCCCCTTGCTGTGGTCTCCTCCAGCATGAGTCAAAGAATGGAAAGAAGCTGGTGTCCTTTCCCCTTAGGAAAGTCTCCTGTCCCAATGGCACCATCTTAAACTTTGTGGGGTATTTCTGGGCAGTGTTAAGAAGCCAAGAATCTTTGGGGAAAAAAAAAGTGGCTACTGGAGACCATTGAGTGAGTAAAGCTACAGGAGAATTGAAATTCTTGTTGGAAATGGCTTTTTCACTTGGACCAGGAGTGGCTCCATTCAGAAGAGTCAGATTTGGAAATTCCCTGAATAGTAATTAGACTTTATGGAAAATGAGATCTGAGAAAAATTTCTGCCACTCAGTGGAAACCATCTTTAGTTGCAAGGTCAGAGAAAGGATCCTGGAGTTAGACATAAAGTCTGGTTCAAGTCCCAGCTCTGTCCTTTACGAGTTCTGTGTTCATAGGCAAATCATGTAACTAACTTATCTGAGCCTCAGTTTCTCATACACACCTTGCAGAATTGATGTGAAAGCCCTTTGGAAATTGTAATATGTTTAACTATGAATTCCCTGGTGGCTCAGTATTAAAGAATCTGCCCACAATGCAGAAGACCCGGGTTTGATCCCGGGGTCAGGAAGATCCTTTGGAGAAGGGAGTGGCAACCCACTCCAGTATTCTTGCCTGAAGAATCCCATGGACAGAGGAGCCTGGTAGGCTACAGTCCAGGGGGTCACAAAGAGTCAGCCACGACTGAGCAGCTAACACACAATAACTATTAACGCCTAGACAATTTAATACTTTTGAAAATGGGTTTTAGGATTTTGTTTGGACCTGGTTTTGGAGTTCTTCGGGAGCTGTTTTGGAAGTTGTACCTGAGCTGGGGTTTTCTTGGTTTATTAACTAGTGACTTCTCTGCCAGCAGCCTGGATCTTTTGTTCAGGGAGCCCCTCACTGCTTCCTGACCCTTTGGGATGCTCTCCTTGTTGGTGAGTGGTTTTCTGAGTTCAGACTATGCTTAATAAAGTTGTTCAGGCTCTAGATGGGGAAGCCGGGGGCAGGAGCCCCAGAGATACTTTCTAGGGTAAGAAGGGTCCCTAGGAGCCAGCCCCAGAGTGGGAGGTGCCCCTCGACAGTTCCTGGGGAAGAGTGAGGCTGGGGGAGGGGCCGTGGAGAGTGCTGTGCGTGAGAGCCAGTGCTGGGGCTTGGGGGCCCTGTGTTTGCTCTGTGGCTGGCTCTGTTTATATCGCTGGCTATATTTAGCTTCTGAGTCATCAGCGTGGCTGACTAGAGCCGAGTTCCCCACACAACT